AGAAACGGTGGGCCACAGACTGTGAACAATGCCTCACTTTTGCCATGCTACGGTAGCGCCGCTCAGACCCTTACGCAGAGCATTCTGCGTCTTTATGAATCGCGTACTCGCGCAATTCCAAAATAAACCAAGCTGCAATTTGACGCCCTCGACGGTTCCTTAGTTCGTTCCTTCAGTAGTGAGTCAACTACCATATACAAGTTCATATCTTACCCCGACTACTACCCTACTACTTTCTTAGGAACCGCGAAGCATCTCTCCTCCTTCCTTTTTCATCCCTCTTCCCTGCTTTCCTTCCTTCCATCTCTCTTCCCTCTTCCTTATTCCTCTCTTGAGATGCTAGATCAGAAGATAAGATGAGAAGATACCTCTGAACCTTCTCACCGAAAGAACATCTAGTTGACAGAAGCCTTGCCCCCCCCCCCCTCAGCAGGACTGCCCGCGAACTGCAGTCGCAGAAGGTGTCTTTCACAAAACAAACCTACCAAACTTCACTTCCCGTGGTGGTAAGTTCTTTCCGTTACCTCGTAGAGCTGATTTCCCAACGAGTGCGGTCTGAATTGCAGAAATGAATTTTGGATTATTCGAATGCAGCTAATGCAACCCACCTACCTGGTTCTGATTATTGTCTCCATTCATCTGAGCTTTGTCTGCAGGAGCAGGGCCCTTTTCAGGAACCTTTTTCGGCTTACTCGGATGGTCTTGTTTGTTTTGCACTTTTGCTTGATCTCCTTCGGCAGCTTTTTTAGCTGCTGCTGCTTCAGCTGTAATTTTGTCAATAGAAACGTGAATCCAAGCAGAATGTCAAATAAAGCTCACCTCGAGCCTTCTTCGCTGCTGCTTTATTGGCTCGTTGAGCTTTAACTTCTTCGGCGCTTTTGGGCTAAAGCAACAGCCAGCACTCAATGGAAGGAACTTTAGCTTTAGAATAAACACCGACCTGATCTAATTGCTGGTTTGGTACTTTTGCCTTCTCAGCCTTTTGTGAAGCTTTATCCCTTGCAGTGTTTTTTCCATCTTCTTCAGGAGCCTTCGTTCCAGCTGCAGCATTTGTGGACTCCCCTGCTTTCGCAGGTTCATTTCTAGTGGATGTAGCTGCGTCGAGCTTGACCGCGCCAAGTACGTCGCCCATTTTCTGTATGCCTTCGGCCAGTTTGGAAATGGACAACTGCAAGGCCGATATTTAAAAAAAGTCACAACAGAAAAGAGCTGCTTTGGAAGCGCTTTCTGCTCTAAGAAAGCACCTAATGTCATAATAAGCACCCTAAGGTTAAAGCAAAAGCTGTTGAGAAACGACACCGACATTTAGCTATTATTGGATGAAAAATCTCAAAAAGTGAAGCACTGGCAGTGTTCCGGGGCTATAGAAAGGTGCTGACAAGCTTTTGTACAAGGTTGCGAAGATTCAACGTCTTTAGGACCGCGTTCATGTTCTGCGAAGGCGGACAATCCGCGATTTCGGGAATTGCAGTTTATAAGAAAGCGCGCCTCGTGGGTGGGTGGAGTCAGTCGATTGCATCCATTCACGAAGCTCCTTCAGATAGTGTGTTCATACTTTGCGTCAACGTTTTGTGGATAAATTTTAGCTTCTTGCAGGCAATCGCTGAAAATGCTAGCGCACGCCCAACGCTGGATCGGGTCGATGTGTATACTATCATGGTCGCTAGAAACGCTGCCGTGCGCGAACATACGCTCAATATAGGTCGATACCTTTACTTTCCCAGTCACTCAAAATGCTGCCGCACTCCCAGTACACTCACGCAAAGTATGAACGCAGCCTTATCGCTGATTCTCTGATTGATACGTAAGCTTTCCTAGGTGCACAAGCAGTTGAGGGGGAGGAACAGGCGAGAGCGCTAAATGTCCGTTGCGGCAAATTTGATTGCCTGTGCTCTGCAAAGCATGAGCCCTGGCTAATAGAAGGGTCAAAGTCACGCTTCAGCTTAACCTCGTCAACAGTTTTTGCACCCTTTCCTCTGTAGCCGAACACCGGATTCGCATATTCTCCACAATGAGTAAGAACGCGGTATCAGTTAGCTTGCGTTCATAGTTTGCGTTAGTATACGCAGCGTTTTGAGCGTTTCCAGCGCACGCCAGCGACTAGGAAAGCACAGGTATCGATCTAGTTTGAGCGTACGCCGGCGTTTCGAGCCGTTTCGAGCGTTTTCACGTGCAGTTTTGTTCAAGCTCTGAAATGTTCGCAACGTCGCTCAAAACGCTGGCGTACGCTGGTGGACGCTTGAAAAGCTAGATCGATATCCATACCTTCACAGTCGCTGCTGTACGCTGTCATACGCTAAATCATTTATATTTTCCTAGTCACTGGCACTGGCGTACGCTCCAAAGGCTTGCGTGCGCTGACGCGAAGTATGAACACAGCCTTAGGATCGAGTTGAGTGCGCGTTCACAACTCGCGATTTGGATGCTTTGGGACTGATCGCGAGTGACTTGGTCACTGGCTCTGATAAGAGCGACCAAATCGCGAACGCACTCTGAGGCTGAACAGCTCCTCATCTACTCATTGTGATCTTCCCGGTGATAAAATAAAATGGATCCTTTCTAGACGGACTTGCGCTTAATCCATGAGAGAACTCTAAATCCAAATTCACGTTGTTAGTGTGAGTGCAAATGGCATATTGTCAAAAGCGTTTTCTCAGGGTTAGCAAAAACTTATTGGAAATACGAAGCCTGACCAAGCGAAGCGTAATTCATTCTACTATATACTACTAGTACAGTACGTCTCTCAACAGTTCACCTTCAGTTGACCCACTGGATCGTCAGCCATTGAAGTGCCTCCTCGATCGATCTCCGATTTAGACGTCATAATAGCTATCTGAAAGCAAAATACTTTCAAAGAACCACGACGCAGACCACCCAGGTGTTCAGAAAAGTGTGAAATGTGTGAAACTGACTAAAAAATATGCTGGTACTACATCTTTAAGAACGCAATATTTCGATGTTTTCCCTTAGACACCACAGCGCAACTAACGAAGGCACAAGCGAGAGAACAGTACTGTTGAGAAATAGTACGGAAATTTAGCAGTATCACCTCTTTGATTCCAACCAATTCAGGGCAACATCAATGGAAGTAATTTTGGATTACGGTAAATGAAAATTTGATTACGCGTAAATGAAATCAACGTGACATAGCCTTGTGACCTCGACGCGCAATCGCGGACGAACTCAAGCTATCGGTTTTCTGGCGTGACGATTCACATCTTCCGTGCAGCTTTAGCCCCACGTCCTATATGTGAGCACTTTGACAAGGGATGTAGGGTGAAAAGTGGTTCGTGTAAGTCCTCAAATTGTTTGGTACATTCCATCTGCTAAGTAATAGAGCTGGGGAAGACGGTGTTCTGTTACAACTCTCTTTACATTCTTGTTTCTTCCTGAGCACTTTAGGAACAAATTTCCTAGATGTCAGCTTAAGTATTTGAAAAGAAGTATTCGAAAAGGATATTTTAGGAAATGCTGTCGGTACACTTTGAATATTGTGAATCGATAACGCAAAAAGCTAAAAGATTTCACCCTGAGAAAGGTAAACCTTTCGTATGAGAGGTGCAGATCATCAATGAGACAATCTGAAACCCAAATGGTGAGCTGCAAATTGATCACTGCTTTACGCATTGTTATTTTATGCCATGTCGTATGTCAAAAAGGAACCTATTCAAGTTGTACTTTATTTTAGGAATGGAATTTAATGAATGGATCCAAGGAGAAGAATGGCAGCAGTACTGACAAGTATACTCCTCTCCAGACGAAGTGCTACGAACTGGCGGCTCGTCGACGTCGAGATCTTCAGCGTCCTGAATCACCAAGCTTTCCAGATGTTTAGGCACTGCTTTAATTGTCAGTACGATGCTCTGTAAATAAGTTGACCATAATTATGTATTGATCGCTCGTAATATTGACTGAGAAACGGTGAGGTCATAGCCGCAAGTAACGCCTGCATGTGGCGCACATCGGACACTGCCCTCTAGGCTGCACGGATTCTATTACGAATTCCTTTATTGATTGTAATTTAACATTATTTTTGCTCGAAATCAATTTCAAGATTTCCATGAGCTCTGTTCATGTTGTACACTGATATGTGTTATCATTCTGTAAGTTTCATAAAAATGTGTGCAGTCAAAGTGTCATATAAAGTTAATAAGAAACAGTTCAGTTCGAAGAAATTGTTGTCAGAAAATGTCCGATCAGGCTGAAATGGCTACCTTTTATATGTCGGAGTCGACGTCAATATTCACGTTTCCTCATGAAAGATCAAGCATTTATAAGGTGCATAAAATAGATTGGAAAATACAGAAAGGCGTGGAGATTGACGTCGGTGAAGGCATATGAAAGGTCAAAAGGAGTACAAAAGGCCTGAATTACAAGCCAAGTTCTTACTCCGTACCAGATAGAGCCGTGATT